ATCGGTTGCGAACATTTTTCTCATCGGTCAACACCATTCCGCTTTCGTTTTTATGCACTTCGCACTGACGTCTCTGATTTTTTTCTCTGGGTTCTCCTACGCGCTGGACGTTTTTCTCCCCTTCCTTCGTCACCAATTTTTCGTTTAAGCTCTTGCACACTATAGATTTTGCTTCAGCGACGACTTTCTTTGCGTCCCTCTTGGATATGGCATATTTTACTGTGCCTTTCACGCTGTTTGAATGGTTGCCATTTCTCGAACAGCTCTTTCTTCTGTCGTAGGATCGCCTGCACGTCCGCATTCCACCACCACGTTTCTTTCTGGATATGGGTTGTGCCTTTTGTTTCTCTGGCAATGCCTCCGGCATTATCTGCGATTATGCTGGCCATACGCTCTTATACTTCGTCCACTTTCCTATTCCAGTCTTCTTTCATCATTTTTTTTCGTAACTTCACTTTCGAACGCTTCTTTCAGATTCCCTCTGAGCTTCCATCATTGTATCTTCGGGGATGCCGTCGTTCCCACTGTCTGAATGAGTTGTTTCAGAGAAAGGTCTAGACCAGCAGTCGGTGCTGACTTGTGACAGTTTTCCCGGAGATAACCTTGCAATCTCTGATGTTCTCACTTCGTCCTTTCGGAGTAGAAAGTAGTCAATCTGACCTTTCTTCTGCTCGCTCTTGTAAGTTAGCAGGTGGTTTTCCCTTTTCTGGAAGAACGCGTTTATCACAGTCAGGTCAAATGCAACTGCCATCTGCAAGATGTTCTCTCTTTCTTCATTTAACATACAATGTCCGTTTCCGCCATGGATCCTGTCGTAACCCATTCGATATTTCCCGAACGTGCCAGGTCACATAGGATTATCATTTTTTCGTTTCGAGGTATGTTTTGTAGTGCAATGTCTAGGCTCTCCCAGAATGTGGACTTTTCAGCTTTATTCAGGCCAGTCTGGGGGGGGAGCGTAGACATTGTATTTAAGATACTATTTTCCAAAGTCTGCTTAACGCCCATTATTCTGTCGTTAATTCGGCTGACTTCGAATATCCTATTTTGGTCGCTTCATTCAACATCACAACAACTCCATTTCTTCTGCTTGATTTTCCACAGTAAATAAGTTTATAGCCTAATCCAATTTCTTTCGATTTCTGAATACAGGTGATCTGAACTTTTCTTGCTAGCCTCCGCTAGTTCCATGCCCTTTCACGTCATTGTTCCAATGTTCCAAGTGGTTATTCACATTTTCATATTTCGTTTTGGGTTTGTCAATCTCTCCCTTTGCGGTTGCTCTTCGTCGCAATAACTGGCAGCCTTGTTCATTTCTCACAGCCGCCGGGATTTGCTGCTGCGCGTCGCTGTGGGGAACTCCCTGGAATTCTTTCTAGAGGCAAGTTGACTCATATTTTCTGGCATTGACTTTTAAGGCCGGATGCCTCCTAGACGCCAACCCCGCTTTCTCAATCGGGCTGGGAACCGGCTACGGCTCGTTAGGGTTAGTAGCTTGCTTATTTGATGGCGGCATGTACTCGCCATGTCGCCGCGCTGTCATCGGGTCATGCGATATTTTCTAGAGCCAACTTTGCCAAAGGTCGGATCGCCGCACCCTCGTAGCACTGTCGTCACGTTGTCCGACACTGCTTACTTGTCGGGTTCTCCGCTTATTTCGCAGCTAACCCTCATATCTGAAGGTTCTCCACTATCCACAACCTGTGGACACGTTCGGCGGCATCTGATCTTGCCTCGACGCTACTAGTGGACCGATTGTTCGAACTAGCACAACATGTGCTCAAATACATCAGAGCCACACACACTGCTTGAATGGCCGCACAGGCAACCTGAAAAAAGGGATGGTGCAAATACAGAGCGAAATCTGGTCCTGGACGAGTATTGCAGTAGAAATAAGCGGCCTTAAGCATCGCAGGCTAAGATGATCACATAAAAAGTTTTCGCAAATACTTGCTTATAAGCTACAGAATCATAATAGGGTTAATTTCTAAAAAAAATTTGAAAACTCTAGCTAAAAAGAAGCAATTTTTAAACGTCTAGCAGTACTATCGCGGATGACATGAAAGAAAAAACATTTATATTTGACTCAGAACCGACGCCCTTACGACAGTGGCATCGGCCATCAGGTAATTACCACTTGATGACTCAGACTCATTTAATCGGAATATTAAATATTTTCTATGGTCGTACGTAAAACTAGCCTACAATCAGCAGGCGCACTCCAGAATAGAACTTTTTCATGCATTATATTACATATTACATTAGTAAACTGCGGACTTATGACCGTTAGCCTAGCTTGATCATAGCTCTGGTCAAACTCCCCATTTCCCGCACACTGTACTACACGAATCGAAATGAAAGGTTACCCCCTTAAGTGAACCATGGATGTCGCATTTCGGCCGAATACCACACGGACCAATTAGCACCCTATAACAGAGAAATTAAACCCTATGAAGGATGATCCATGTTACAGATGACACAAAACAACAACGATCAGTAAGCAAACTTCAACCTGGCAACGAACTTGTCAAGCAAAGATCTTTTCCGTACCTTTCGTGCCCAGCGTTCCCTCAGTCATCGCCTCGCCTCTCACTTGACTGTTAGACACTGCCGATAACCTTGAATAAGTAATTAGTAAAAGGCAATGCAAACGTATCTGATTGTTTGTTACATGATCATAGATAGTGTACTAAACACGCCACAAGCGTAATACGCATGACGAAAGCCATCTTCGGTATTCGATGGGTAACAAGCAGCGGTATCGACAATAATCCACCAACCAGAAGCGAACTAGATTTCAAAGTATATATTTAACTAAGCACGCATGCAAATCTTAGATTAATTTACCAAATTTTAGGTACTATCGAGTAACAACTAAACGGAACATTTACTAAACTGAGTATCCCACTTTGCCTCTTCTCGCTATGCAATACAATCCAATAAGTAATTCTCTTCAAAGAGTAGACACCATTGCGTTGTATCTCACAGCGCATTTTCACTTTCGAAACCCAATAAGTGACCGTTTCTATTATACACAGATTCGAAATTAGATTCGCTTCATTATCCTCAAAAAATACGATAAAAAATAATACACCTCGGTGTACGGACCCATAATTTTTCTTTTGGTGAAAGCACGAAAGCAGTACATCAATTCTGGTGATAAAGCCTTGGTAATGGAAGAAGGCAC